TATCTGTTAATTATGTATCCTTAAAATTCTGTTCCCAATTCGTCGTTACAAACTCTCTGTTAAGCCTCGTACCTCATTACCTTCCATAAACAACACTCACCCCATTTATGAAGTGTTGTGTAATGAGAATGAGAGAGATGTATAACCTGTACTCTATCTCTTAGTGTTGATGACTGCTGTATCTACTGTACTGTACACTCTTAACTAAACACTATAGTTATTGAAGTAAATTACCACATTATAGCATTACTGTTGGCGGTTTGGTAACTATCTTTAATCACTAACTGGGTCTATCATACGCTGCGTCCTGCATAGTGGATAGGGAACTATTAAAAAAAACTCTGCTATTTTTTGTAATGCGGATTATAATAAATAGTGTGAATATAATAATTATAAAGAACTATAAAATTTTGTGTTACACGTAAATTCAGAATATAATATGGCTCTTTCCTTATGAGTTTATTAAAGAAAATATGAGTTATTTGTCTAAAGTTGATTTAAATTACTGTTAACATAGACTAATAACAAACGTTGTAACATACAAATCCCAGAAAAAAGTTTGGTTAAAAAATAAAACATGATATTTTATTTTATTTTATTTTTTTAACTTTACTCTGGTTTTTGGTCGTCCAACATTTTGTATATATTTTTTCCTCAATATGTTTTAGCACCCCATATTTCCCTCCCCTTCATAGCCTCGTCCATCACCTAGTTTATATTATTATTCCCGCATTTAAATGTTGTATATTGTAAGTGTGTCGGTCGAGAGTCACAATAGACGTGAAGGACAAGACTCCGGCAACGTCTTGTACGGAAATTGCAATCACCTGATCTTTAGCCTACGCAGCTTATGTCACTAGACGATTAAACACCCTAACCTAACCTACCCCCTCCCTCCCCCCCCAGGCAGCATTAGAGTGTTTTAATTGTCAGGTGAAATAAGCTGGCTGGATGGAACCTGTCTCCTTACAAACTAACCAAAGTTAAAACAATAAAGACATAAACATAAAAAAATCATTAAAATATTGTATTTACATCTTGGTAGTGATGACTGAATTACTGTTATGGTGTATTTACTTTGAGTACGACGACCTGACAACTTGAGTACGATGACCTAACACCTTGAGTACGATGACTTGATTTTAGACCTTTTAACAACCAGAAAACATTTTAATGGTATGAGGAAGGACTAACGGGGTCAGTGATGTAGATGTGACTGTATGCGTCGCTTCTGGTATGACTCATCTGCTCTGACAAGTCTCCAGCTCTGTAATACCGAAAAATGGAAAATGTCGCCGAACGCTAAAAATTATTGACATCACCGAACCTTGGATGTATATACTCTGGGTAACAACAACAACTGCTGCTGCTGCTGTTGCTATTAGTAGTAGTAGTAGTAGTAGTAGTAGTTGTAGTAGTAGCAGTAGTAGTAGTAGTAGGGTTTTTCAATAATGGGCTCCCACCTCCCCTTATAGCAATACCTTCGCCGCTATTTCATTGCCTAACTATCCTCTTAAAAAAATAACTACCCTAGCTGAATTAGTTAAGCCACAGATCAATGTGGCATTTGGTGATTGTTACCTCAAAGTCAATTATCTTCGACTGTTGTTGGGATAAGGGCCGAAGATCTTGTTCCCCTGAGGCACCGCAGCGCAGACCTGAGCAAATAGAATGATAGGTGACACCACCACCAGGCCATGGCGTAGCTTCTGGGCTGCTGCTCTTGTTCTGATAACACCTCAACCTGAGGTGTAATCACGTCCTGGATGCTCTCTTCTTTTCTCTCTTGTTCCTACTGTGTGCAGCCTCGAGAGACAGGACATGGTGACATGCGGCCAGGGGATCAAATATCCTGATATAAAATAAGGTTGGAGCACTGACGTTCACACGGGCTTCGTTGGTTGTGTTGGCAGTCCTCCTCCTCCCTTTCTACTACTACTACTACTACTACTACCACTACTTTTTTTTTTTTTACTACGTGGCCTCCAGCCTCCCCCAATAGCCACACCTTCGCCACCATTTAATTACCTTAATATTAAATATCCTAATACATATGTAGCTATCCTATCTGTGTTAAATTAGTTGAGCCGCAGATCGATGCGGCATTCAGTGACTGTAGCCTCATCGTTGATATCTGCAGCAGTTGTCGGAATTGGGGCAGAAGCTCTCGTTCCCCTGAGGCAGAGCAAAGCCGACCGAAGGAGAGAGAAAGACAGTCGACATCTCATCCAGGCTGTAACGAAACTTCTGGGCTGCTGCTTCTGTTCGGAGATCACCTCCGCGAGTCTGGCGTAGAAACATTTTGCACGTGGTCCCATCCCACCAGAGGTTGTGAACACTAGAGGAGTGAAGCTGCCTTGATCAACGTTTTGAATTCTCTCCCCATATGCCCTTATCTTGTCGTTCTCGTTCCTCCTGTGTGCAGCATCGAGAGCTAGGTTACGGTGACATGCGGCCATGGGATAAAAAATCCTGATGGCGAAGAAAGCTCGCTGTCCCCGCGTCCAGAATCCTCGAGCACTGACGTCATCACGGGCTTCGTTAGATGTGTTTGAAGTCCTATGTTGAAAGATCTCACCATCCAATGGAAGGAGGGTCGGTTCTACCATGACATCCCGGCAGATTTCCTTCAACATATTTGCTGTAAGGTCCCTTACTTCGTCATGCCTCATGCATATGAAGCCCCCTTTCTTGCACACCATGGCGTGATCGCCGTCATAGGAAGAGCCATACACGCAATGGGAGGGCAAATCTTCTACTGGCCGACCGTACCTTAGAGCAATGGCATCTGTAAATTCTTGTTTGTTAAGACTGAAACCATTTGCCCTTATCGGTAACGTAGTTAACCAGTTCGAGGCGCCTACCTCCTGCGCTATAGCTACTTTTTTTTCAAATTTTCTGGAATCTGCAGCAACAGTTGCTGCAACTTATCATTTTGGCAGTGCTGTCGATCTGTCGTAATGGACCTACGAATCTCGTTTACTTCACTGGTATCGACCTCCCCTGTTGCGTTCTGGGCTATTATGTGGTCCGTGAGGGCTGCCGTGAGCTTAAGTGACTTTTGATGTTCGGTGGCTGCAATCTCCTCAGGATTGGTTAGTCCCATCCCTCCCAGTCTTGATGGAAGTGCAAGAAGTGCTCTTTCTGCTGGGGTTAAGTGAGTGTGTTTCACTAATTTGGGAATGAACTTGACACTGATAGCTTCTTCCAGAGGGTGGACGAGGGGTCCGATATCAGGGATAGTATGCATCAGGTAGTTCCAACGATGCTTGACTCCATGGGTGAATGCAGCAAAAGCCGCATGTGGCCCTGTGTTAGCAATCTCAGACAGAGCTTGGAGTCACTAACCCACTCATTCACCTTTCTCGCTACGTACTCGGTCTTGAAGTCCGTAGTGCCAATTACTGCGCCTAGATGTCTTTGGCCGTCCTCAGTTATTTTGATCTCACTTCCGCCAAAAACCTCCTTTGCCCGTTCATAATGTTCTGGCTTCACGATGAGGAAGGACTTCCTGGCGTTTGTTACCCGGCATAGTAATCAGCCCCTTGGGCGACAGTTACTTCCGCCCCCGACCTCTTCTTTGGTCCCATACAGAAGAAGAAACTAGTTCTTCTGAGTAAAGGGCCAAGAGGCGATAGGCTGAACTGCTGTGTCCGGGTAGTAGGGGCATACGTGCACGCGTGGATGTGTAGGCCACCCACCACTGGGAGCAAGAATTGTCACACCTAACACTTGTTTATATCTCCTTGGCAGAAATAACCACTATTTCTATGGTCGCACTGATGTAATATTAGTTATATATACTCTCTTGGTCGGCCGACACTACATGAGGCGACCTTTACTTGGGGAGGGGGCGACCGCAAATCGGAGAGCACTTGGCCCCGTAAGGGCGAGAGTCTCGATGCCACCCCTGCCAAAGTAGGCCTAACAACACACTGGCACTGGCCCTTGGCATCTGCCGTCACCATCCTTCCACGATTCACAGGCACACTTGAAAATCGCCGGTGAACACACCCAATATTTGCGTTTAATGCCGTAAGGGATGAGAAGAGCCGTCGGCGACGATGCTTAAGGTGACATCCAATTTTCACCGACACACTGTGAAATTCTCGCTCCCACAAACTGAGTATATCCCCTCCAATAACACTTTAGATCAGGGAGGACACACCCACGCCACACAGGCCCACTACTACTACTACTACTACTACTTTTTTTCTAATGGTCTCCAGCCTCCCTCAATAGCCATACCTTCGCCACCATTTTATTACCTTAATATTAAATATCCTAATACATAAGTAGCGATCCTAGTCACAGATCAGTTCACATTAGCAGCTTAACACCACAATTCACGTGATCTTAACCTTGACCAATAAGACTTACCCAACTTTAGATCTTGTCATATGTTTGTATTAACTTTCATTAAGGAGTTTTAATTGGTTCAAGAGATGTAGTAAACTTGATCTCTTACCTGAACCTTCGTCTAGTAACCTTGAATATGATACTTACCTTTATATATTATGAAGGTAAGAGGAGGTTAATTTAATCAAGGTAATGTAATTGGTTAAAGGGTTATCTTTAGGGGTATAATGTATGTAATAATAATCAGGTATATACTCGTATGTTAGAGCAGCCAGGTATATATGTTAGAACAGCCAGGTATATATGTCAGAACAGCCAGGTATATATGTTATGAGGACCAGGTACGTACAGTATATACCACTAACTAAACCATCATCTTTTCTGTAATGAGAGAGACGAAAATTATGTTTTATATCTTAACTTTGGTCCAGATCCTTCACCAGATAACAATATTTAGACGATATTTCTCGTCCCCCCAAAACACACATACACTAAATATCGTCTTTTCTTTTGGGCAGAAATTGATAATGTATATATTTTATTTCTGATTCATAAATAAATGTAAGTTATTTGTTTGTTTGGTTGTTTCGTGGAATGTTTGTTTGTTTGTTTGTTTAATTGTATTGTATGTGTCTTTGCAGGTTGTCATTGCGTGATGGTGTTGCAACTGCTGGTGGTGATGCTGGCAGTGAGAACAACACCCGTGTCCTGTCATGTTATGTGGACATCCATCCTCCCCGCCTCACAAGGTACGTCTTGCCTACCTCACTCCGGAGAGACCATTATTACCTGGGCATCTGTGGCGTCTCATACATCCCCATTTTCTCTAATTCCCCTTTTTAAATATATATATATATATATATATATATATATATATATATATATATATATATATATATATATATATATATATATATATATATATATATATATATATATTCGTATTTTCATTCATGAGTTCGGTTATATGTGTCTTAAGTGTTATTTTTGTGGTTGGTGTTCAGTGGCTTGCATTTACACCTGGTACAGTATCTTGTGTGTCTTATGAGATGTGGCAGCTCTGTGTTTGTTTACATTGTGTTAAAACTCCCGGAATGGCCCTAAGGAACCACTAAATATAGCCACACTATGGGTGACTAGATAAGCATTCCACAGAGGTGCCACATCTCACAAAACACGCCAGTCACTGTACCAGGTGTAATTGCAGGCGACTGTACAAAAGTGTGTAGCGAGAAGCGTTGACTTAAACAAAGTCGTTATATCCGTTCTATAGATTTTCAGAGTCCTTATAATTAACGCTGGAAGTTGGAAGGACATCTGGAAAACCATTAAAAAAATATAAAATTCTGGCAGTAACGATTGTTGAATTAATTAAAAGAGTTTTTACCCGAAGGCGAAAACAAGTGTTGAATATTTCAAAGGCGGCTGCCGTGGGTGGCTTGGAGGAGGGACCATCCAGCCAGGGTACAATAAGTGTGTGTGTGTGTGTGTGTTAGAGAGAGAGAGAGAGAGTCACTATAATAGCCAGAGAAGTTTATATTTATCTTGGAGGACGAAGTTGAAGATGACAGGAAATGACCAAGACGAAACATCCTGAATAAGGAAGTGAATGTTACCTTAAGAAAACACAAAACAAATCATAGTAAAGTAGTTAAAGAAGAGTCTGATAATTTTGGACGTAATTTTGTCCAGCGTCTTGTTGTAAGTTAGATAGTTACGCCTCCCAGCCTGTCAACTGTTAACAATGATGGCGGGTAATTATTAGGTGAAGTTACTTTAGAATGAGGTTAAACTTGATGAATGTTACCCTGAGGTGTGTACCGTATGTCAGTGACTGAGCTTAGTGTGCCGTGTGTTACTGTGGGAGAAGGTAGTGTACCGTGTGTTACTGTAGGTGAGGGTAGTGTACCGTATGTCAGTGACTGAGCTTAGTGTACCGTGTGTTACTGTGGGAGAAGGTAGTGTACCGTGTGTTACTGTAGGTGAGGGTAGTGTACCGTATGTCAGTGACTGAGCTTAGTGTACCGTGTGTTACTGTGGGAGAGGGTAGTGTACCGTGTGTCACAATAGACCAGGGTAGTGTACCGTGTGTTACTGTGGGTGAGTGTAGTGTACCGTGTCACAATAGACCAGGGTAGTGTACCGTGTGTTACTGTGGGTGAGGTGTAGTGTACCGTGTGTTACTGTGGGTGAGGGTAGTGTACCGTGTGTCACTGTGGGTGAGTGTGTACCGTGTGTTACTGTGGGAGAGGTAGTACCGTGTGTTACTGTGGGTGAGGGTAGTGTATGTGTCACTGTGGGTGAGTGTGGTGTACCGTGTGTCACTGTGGGTGAGTGTAGTGTACCGTGTGTTACTGTGGGAGAGGGTAGTGTACCGTGTGTCACTGTGGGTGAGGTTAGTGTACCGTGTGTCACTGTGGGTGAGTGTAGTGTACCGTGTGTCACTGTGGTGAGGGTAGTGTACCGTGTGTTACTGTTACTGTGGGTGAGGTAGTGTACCGTGTGTTACTGTGGGAGAGGGTAGGTACTGTGTGTCACAATAGACCAGGGTAGTGTACCTGTGTTACTGTGGGTGAGTGTAGTGTACTGTGTGTCACAATAGACCAGGGTAGTGTACCGTGTGTTACTGTGGGTGAGGGTAGTGTACCGTGTGTTGGTGGGAGAGGGTAGTGTACCGTGTGTTACTGTGGGTGAGGTAGTGTACGTGTGTCACTGTGGGTGGTGGTAGTGTAGTGTCACTGTGGTGTGAGGTAGTGTACCGTGTGTTACTGTGGGAGAGGTTAGGTACCGTGTGTCACTGGTGGGGTTAGTGTACCGTGTCCGTGTGTCACTGTGGGTGAGTAGTGTACCGTGTGTTACTGTGGGTGAGGTAGTGTACCGTGTCACTGTAGGTGAGGGTAGTGTGTGTTACTGTGGGTGAGGGTAGTGTACCGTGTGTCACTGTGGGTGAGTGTAGTGTACCGTGTGTTACTGTGTGTTACTGGGTGGGTGGACCGTGTGTCACTGTGGGTGAGGTTAGGTACCGTGTGTCACGTGTGTCACTGTGGGTGAGGTTAGTGTACCGTGTGTCACTGTGGGTGAGGTTAGTGTACCGTGTGTCACTGTGGGTGAGGAGTAGTGTACCGTGTGTCACTGTGGGTGAGGTGTGTGTGTCACTGTGGTGAGGGTAGTGGTGTGTCACTGTGGGTGAGTGTGTCACCGTGGTCACTGTGGGTGAGGGTGTGTACCGTGTGTCACTGTGGGTAGGTAGTGCACCGTGTGTCACTGTGGGTGAGGGTAGTGCACCGTGTGTCACTGTGTGGGTGGGGTAGTGTACACGTGTGTCACTGTGGGTGAGGGTAGTGTACCGTGTGTCACTGTGGGTGAGGGTAGTGTACCGTGTGTCACTGTGGGTGAGGGTAGTGTACCGTGTGTCACTGTGGGTGAGGGTAGTGTACCGTGTGTCACAATAGACCAGGACAGAACATAAGAACATAAGAATGGAGGAAACTGCAGCGGGCCTATTGGCCCATACTGGGCAGTCCCATTTACACCTAACCCCTATCGCTCATATATCCATCCAACCTATGTTTGAAGCTATCCAGCGTATTCGAGTTAATGATGATATTTGGTAACTTGTTCCAGTCGTCCACTACTCTATTTCCAAACCAATGTTTACCTATTTCGCGCCTAAATTTAAATTTGTCTAATTTAAAACCATTGTTACGAGTTCGCTCCTGGTTGGAAAGTTTGAGTACCTTTGTAATGTCCCCTTTGTTTAGCCCTGACTTCCATTTATACATCTCGATCATATAGCCCCTCACTCTACGTCTCTCGAGGGAGTGTAAATTAAGATGCTTTAACCTGTCTCTGTACTCAAGGTTTCTAATGCCCGGTATTAGTCTTGTCATTCTCCTCTGAATTCTTTCTAGGGATTCTATATCCATTCTGTAATACGGTGACCAGAATTGAACTGCGTAATCCAAGTGAGGTCTCAAAAGCGCAAGATATAGTGTTAGGATGACCTCGCTAGTCTTGTAACTAACACTCCTTTGTTTGAACCCAAGTACCTTATTAGCTTTGTTTCGAGCAAATACACATTGTTTACTTGGCTTAAGATTCCTACTTATCATTACTCCTAAATCTCTCTCTCAGTCGGATTTCTCAATAACATCGCTGTTCATCTGGTTTCCCTGTTTACATCTCCTATACTGAGTACTTTACATTTGTCACATTGAATTTCATCTGTCATTTTTCAGACCATTCGAAAAATTTGTGTTCCGTGTGTCACACACCAGGGCCAGTGTATCGTGTGTCACACACCAGGGTAATGTACCGTGTGTCACAGACCAGGGCAGTGTACCGTGTCACAGTAGACCAGAGCAGTGTACCGTGTGTCACAATAGACCAAGGCATTGTACCGTGTGTCACAGACCAGGGCAGTGTACCGTGTTACAGTAGACCAGAGCAGTGCACAGTGTGTTAGTGTAGGTGAGGTTAGTGTACCATGTGTTACTGTTGGTGAGGTAGTGTACCGTGTGTTACCGTGGGTGAGGGTAGTGTACCGTTGTCACAGTAGACCAGAGCAGTGTACTGTGTGGCACAGTCCAGAGCAGTGTACCGTGTGTCACAGTCCAGAGCAGTGAACCGTGTGTCACAGTCCAGAGCAGTGAACCGTGTGTCACAGTCCAGAGCAGTGACCGAGCTTACTCATGTTGTAATCAATACGGGGCTAAAATATTTTATGGTCCACACACTGAAGACCAGACCGGGGCCCCGCCTGTGTACTTGAGGATTAATTAATGCACACTTTTATTTAATCACGTACTATTAATTAACGAAAGTGCCGTAATTAGTGAAGGAGAGAACTTGTAAAATAAAGATATTCTACAACGTGTTAGTTCATGTTTCAGACCCAACTCGTCCACGTGGCATAACCATAATCACAGTGGAGGATCGAAGTGGATCTAGTTGACCTGACGACCTGTTAGAGTAGAGTACTGTAGAGTAGAGTGGAGTAAAGTAGAGTAAACCTTTTGGTTCATTATGTCTGGCACTGCACTCAGACGTCATCATCTCCCCAACCGTATATAAAGTACAGCTGACGTGTGTACTGCCTTAAGGTATAACATCTGGCTACACTATAAACTGGCTTATATGGGTAATATATATATGACTTATGGCCCTGCTCTCTTAATCCACGGGTGAGGATGAGACTGAAGGTAGTAAATCACTTGTGGCGGCCGTGTTAACAATATTTTATCTGTCTACAACCCTAAAGTATTTCCTGGGATATTTGCCTAAACATCCAATGTCCTGTGTTTCACCTGATGCATTAATTAAACCTCAAGCGAAGGAATATTATGCACAAGATAAACAACAAAAAAGAGAAGAGAAGAGGGGACTAGCTACAGAGGCAAGACACTACACTACACTACACTACACTACAGGCAGGTGTGTGGGTGAGGTAGGTGTGTGGGTGAGGTAGGTGTGTGGGTGAGGTAGGTGTGTGGGTGAGGTAGGTGTGTGGGTGAGGTAGGTGTGTGGGTGAGGTAGGGGGTGAGGCAGGTGTGGGGGTGAGGCAGGTGTGGGTGAGGCAGGGGTGTGGGGGTGAGAGGGGTGTGGGTGAGGTAGGTGTGTGGGTGAGGTAGGTGTGTGGGTGAGGTGGTGGTGTGTGTGGGTGAGGTAGGTGTGTGTGGGGTGAAGCAGGTGTGGGTGAGGTGTGTGGGTGAGGTGTAGGTGTGTGGGTGAGGTAGGTGTGTGTGGGTGA